TTATCGAAAGCCTTAGAAACAAAATCTGTGAAAAACTGCATTCATACGCAAATCAATATCAAGTAGCTTAATTAGTTTTCGTTTTTGTTTGTTTTCTTTGATTCGAGGAACTTGGCTCACAAATATTTTGTTACGATACCCTAAACACGGTCTGTAGTTGAGTCTTTGAAGCTGATGGATATGTTTTGTGCATGTTTTCTTCTTTTTTTGATAATGTGAGAAACCTTTATTAATTGTGCTTTGAATGATGCAAGCATTACATGATATTGTGCAACGTATAAACGCAGAATTTCGCAGCTAACTGCGTTCATGCCGCAGACTTTGGATGCCGCAACAAGTGGCAAACGCTTTCATTTTGATTTCATATAAAAATTTTCATTAATTGCAATCTGTGTGAGTGTGTGTGTGTGTGTTTGCCCTTGTTGTGCATGTTTTATAAAATAAAATTACGTTTATGCCAAGCTATTTCTGTATGCGTAATCACGAACTCGAAACACTCGCATAAACGTGTTAATAAATTTACGAAATATTTTATACATGGCTTAAGCTTAAGCAAAGTGTGTATACAGAGGCTTAATCTATACTTTAATATATATATATATAATTTTATATATAAGTTGTGTATACATAAATTGTTTTTATTTTCATTATTTTTGTTTTTTTTTTTTTTAGTACACGTAAATTATTTTTTGCATTTGCTTTAAGTAGTTCTTTTTTTTGTTGCTTTTTCAATTTTCTCTTTAATAAAAAATATATATAAATATATGCTATTTTGAATTTGATTTTATCTCTCTGCCCATATGTATAGTTATTCATTTTTCTTTTGTATTAGATCTGTTTAGCTTGCTTAGTTTTGTCCCTTTTTGTTTTTTGTTTGTTTAATACGCGCACTTAAAATATGTATGTATATATATATATGGTGTATATAAAAGTTCAATGATTATTTGTTATACATAGATATTTATGTATATATATATATATAAAGATTAGAAGTGGGGGGATACCCAGTAGATTGGGTAAGCGTGGCCTAACTTTGCTCTTTGTTTTGCTAATAAAACTTTACACACGCACACACATACGTAAAAAACAAATAACAAAGCAAAGAACCAAAACAAAATATAATAATTATAAAAAAAAATTAAATAAATAACAAATGTGCATTGTAAATAGTTTTCAAAAATAAAAACTTGAGCTTAGTCTAGTAAAAAAGGGGCGTTACATTGCAATGCCATAAAAAAGGATTTCTCGTATATATATATTAGTTTTTTTTTAATGTTGCTATTGTGTGTGTGTGTGTGTGTGTTGGCGCGTGGTTATGTATTGTTTTTCTCGTGTATTTTGTTTTCCTTGCAGGCTTTTTGCTTGTTTGCTTTAGCTTGGTCTCGTAATATGTATAAACTTTATCATATATTTATAAACATTAATTCCCACTGATGTTACGTCCTCTGCAGCAGCTCGCTCTGTGGACTGGGCGGACTTGATAGCTGCTGCAGCTGCTGCTGTTGCTGTTGCTGCTGCTGCTGCGTTTGCTGTTGCTGCTGTTGTGCGGCATTCAGCATGGTCGGTGCAGACAGTGTGCTCGCCTGTGTAATAACTGTTGTGGCAGAGATGGTCTGTTGCTGTTGCTGCTGTTGTTGTTGTTGCTGCTGCTGCTGTTGCTGCTGCTGCTGTGGCACCTGCTGCAGCTCATGCTGCTGGCTTGTTTGATTGTTCAGCGGCTGGTTTGAATTGCAGAGCACCGAATAGACGGAATCAACTTTGCTTAGCTTCTCAAAGAGCGGTATCAGCTCACGCAGTTCACAGTCGGTGACATCGTCGAACCAGGACTTGACGGGAACCTAAAATGCATCAAGTGAGTAATTAAAATTCATTTCAAATGCCGCATGCTCACTTACCGCATTGTCGGGATGAAAGATATAACTGGCCGGTGAATTATCAACAATGACAATCTTCTGTAAATCCCTGCCCAGACGATTCAGATCCTTAATGTAATTACCCCTGTAATAAACGCATGATTCCCTAAACAGTCTTGCGCGAAACACATTCCATCTGCAATGCAAATTAGATTAGATTAAATACACATTTTTATATGTTGATAACATATACTATTTCCAATAACTTGTCTTTGACTAGAGAATTCCATTCATTTCAATAATATTTATTCTCTTTTCATTTCTTGGCGTTTGCATTTCTATGTTTTCTTATCAATCATAACCACAGTTCTGTTCGTGCTTTATCTTGATTTTTAACTGATCGCTATCCGAACCGCCAAAGTCATTTTGATTGCGGTCATTGCAAGGCAAAGCTCTACAATATCATATCTCTCAGCTTATTTTAATCTATGCCCGTTCTTGAAATCACGAAGGGTATGTTGGGTATGCCTGTAGAAGCTGATAGTTGGGAATGTATAAATACGTGTTTATACGTAATAATTACTGATCCAAATGAATGTAAGCTCGAATTTGTATGTACTTGAATCATAGGGAATAACTCTATATAACTTATGTTTCTCAAATTATTAGAATAGACAAATCTATATAAAATATTTCTGTCCTTTCCTAATGATAACAATACTTACTTATCTAGCAGATCGGCAACGGGATCTGCATATTTGGCTAGTGATGCTGTAAACAAAACGCACTCGTACAGTTCACCCATCTTTTGCAGAAATTCATCGACATGGGGTCGCTTCAGCACATAAACCTGATGTATGGTGCCATCGATTTCCACCGGTACTACAAAATCGGCATTAGGTATAGGCTATAAAAGAGAATTATATTATATTAGTGATTCTACATAAGATAGATCTTCCTGACTTTACCTTAAAACTACTGTGCACTAGAGTTTCGTCCAAATCGATGACCATACACTTTTTATGCATATCGGAGTGCCTAATTTGAGGTAGTAGGTACCTTTGTTGGTCCGGTAGGGGCGGCGGTGTTGTCGAACCGTCGATCTGTGTGCCATTCTGGTTTGTTTTCGTTCGATTTCGTCGCCAACAGCAGAGTAAAGACTGTAGAATTCCTCGTTTTTGTGGCTTTAAACGATCCACATCTTCTGTAAGTAAAAAGAATTTGAGAGAATTTATTAATATAATACATAGAAATCTTGTATAGGTATAATAATTGGGTTTGTTCTTTTAGGAATATAGAATTTACATATAAATACATATAAATTGTGTAAAAATAAGAAAAAGCCCCTTTATTTGTGTTCTATTTAAAACGGGTGTAATAAAAATAAAATCAAAGCGAAATTGCTTTACATGTAATTATAGAATGATTTGCCTAAGCTACCTGCTTGAGCAGGCAATTAACTGTTGCCTTGCTTTCTAGTAAACTGTGCTATATTTATAACAGTTCCAGTTTATCTTTACTACACATATGTATGTATATAGTATATAACAATTATAGCTAATCTGTAGTACACCTGTACTACCTACCTACACACATATATAACAGTCAAAATTAACCAGTACTGTGCTACAGCTGTACTAATCTATATAACAATTACAGTTACACTCAAATTTCTCAAGTACACCCCTATTTATTTGGCAATTTGTCTATGTCTAAGGCTATATTTAAACCTTGCTAAAAAAGTCGCTCAAGGTCGCGCCTAGCAACTTTGATCGACCAATTAATGCGGCCTATAATAATATATATGCATGTATGTATGTATGTA